GGGGGGGGGGGGGGGTCATCATGTTTTTGCATGCCGTACAAGTAGGTGGCCAAGCGTTCTCGAGAGGACAGCGCGTTGTTTGGACCGACCACCGATGGCCAATCGTGCCTTCCTACCTTACCAAACGTGGTTTGCATGCCTTACATGTAAGGCCATGTGGGCGGTAGTTGGCGGGTATTGAGAGAGCGTCTTCCAGAGCAGCGGTGTGGCCCTTTCGTGGTACCTTCCGTCTTTGACCGCACCTACATTTAGTGACTGAGCATGATAAGATTGACCACAGTTAGGTTTTCGTCTTGTAAGTGTCGCAGAACCTGGTAAAAGTACATGTTGCGGAAGATTGTGATACACCGGGGTTTCTCATTACCCCAGGACACCGAGGCGCTATGCATACGTGCTCAGCGGAGTAGCAAATATTTAAAATTACTGCTTCTATGCTCAAGCCACACAAATTTGCACAATAAAAGGAACTATTCAGCAACATTCAAACAATGAACTCTGAACACAACACACGATGACATTGCTGTTGCTGCGAACAGGGTCACCCACACCCCCCCACACCTGCACCGTGTTGAACTCCAGGAAAGACGCCGTCGTGGATCCGACGCCGATGTCCGGGAGGAACAGCAGCCTCAGCTCCGTCAGGATCAGCATTCCCTCGACGCCCTTTCCGCGGTTGTTGGCGGTGACATCGTGTCTGCTGACCCCCATCATCATCTGCGGGGTGCAGGCATGCAACATGAAAGGAACAAGTATAACTACGTCCAAAAAGAGGGCGCCCTGAGGTGACGACGGTGCGCGGCAAGACAAGACTGGCCGACAAAGCAAACAATTGGTGTGGTCGACAACAACGCCAACCATTGGTGTGGCTGTTGATTTGACGCGTAAGCAAAGTCAGGTCAATCACCGGAGAACTTTGAGGCCGGAAACGTGGGGCGGTGCCTACCATGACCCAAAGTATACCCCAGTCGTTATGAAAACACACGGACCACTGGCATGTTCGGATCTGTTTCCGAATGCTCCTTTCACAATTTCAAACAGAGCTTATATTTTGCGAAGTCATGCACACGGAAACTTTGAGGCGAGCGCGTGGCCGCCTGTGAGTGCCGGCCGCATGTCTGGACGGCTGTCCTTACCATATTTTCCAAGCAGAGTGTTATTCTGCCCAAGTCATGCTTACGGAAACTTCGAGGCGGGCACGTGGCCGCCTGTGATTGCCGGTCGCCAGCGTGGACGGCGGTCCTTCTACATTTCAAACTGGGTGATACCTACCTACAAAGTCATGCACACACAAGACACCTCAGGCGGGTGCGAGGGTCGTTGGCCTCCTGCCAGTGCCGGCCGCCAGTCTGGACTACGGTCCATACACATTTCGAAACAGAGTGTTGTCTACGAAGTCATGCACACGCACGGACCCTTCGAGGCGAGCCCGTCGTGGCCGCTTCTTTCTTACTGCCAGCCGCAAGTCTGGACGGCATGTGGTCTCGGCTTACCTCGAGGAGAGCTTCCTCGCCTGCGGGAGGGCACAGCATGGTGCTGCAAAGGCCGCCGTAGTAAAGGTGCTGGTAGTCCTGCATCGCGCAAATAAAAAGGAAGGACAGAAAAAAAAAAAGGCTTTAGGTTTGGGCTGAGGCGAGGCTTATAGAGTAGCAGCACAGTTGCGTTGAGGCGAGCCTCTCAGAGACACAGCAGCAGAAGCAAAGCAATTGCGATCGGTCAGCCCGGCATCGGACACCCCCTTGTCGCTGCTCGGACATCACTACAACACACGATTGATACTTGGGTGTCCCTGTGGTTGACGAAAGTAGTGTCCTAGCCGCACCCTCACCTTTTGGTCCGGCCCGAACACGTCCCTCAGAAACAGCCTCGGCTTGTCTTCCGGGGAGGAGTCTAGCGTCTCCGACTCCCAGTGGACCTTCACCCGGATCTTGCCGCAAACCTCTTCGACCCCGGCCTGAAAATAAAAACAAAGAGTACACAGTAAGACACACCCGCACAAAAATTACGACTATGCTTGTAGACGATGTTCTACTATAACGTATTCGGATCTTCCTTCTGAAAAAAAAAAATGGAGAAGATTTCTATCCTGTGCCTGTCAGCAACCAACGGAAGAGGCAGGTTTGGTTGTAGCTGGGTTGCCTAGCAAGAAGGTCACAAGAGGCACAAAGGGGCCTGGCCCAAAGCCTCCTCTGCTCTCCTGCACGTTGCTTTAGGCGCCAAGGAAAAGCAGAGGAGATTTTTGGTCTTCGTGTACCAGCCCGTCCCCCATGTCTCAAACGCAGGCGATCACGCACTCGCCTGTCGTTGCGTCGTGACTTTCCTAGAAAGCCTAGGCGGTATCCCTGTTGTGCCGCTCGCCGCCGAGAGAAATACGGCGAGAAACCGGCGGCGAGCGGCACAACAGGGATACCGCCTAGGCTTTCTAGGAAAGTCACGACGCAACGACAGGCGAGTGCGTGATCGCCTGCGTTTGAGACATGGGGACGGCCTGTTTCTCTTGTTGACCTTGCTAGGCGAGACCGAGCTGCAATCGAACTCGTTTCACCTCGGGATCTGATGTTGTATGCAACGACCACGCCCCCCCCCCCCTCTACCTTCCTTCTCCCTGCTTTCGGCACCAAGCCTTCCCGCAACCCGTTCAATGCATATCAAACGTCCAAAGAAAAATCTCTGCAAGTGATAAGCACGGTTAAACCAACTTGGGAGCATACAAACAGTTGGCATACACACCCCCGTACTTTATCCGCTCTTCTATGCAACAGTCATCCCCGCTTTCAAAGTGTTCTTCAACTGCAGAAATGTCCGTGAGGGGGAAATGTCGCGACAATGATGCACCTGTTCGTTTGCATTTTGCGAAGCACCACGGTTCCGAAAAGCATGGTGTCTCTTCAAAAGAGCGTCCCTAATTTTGATATCTTTAAGGAAGGGACGAATGTATTCTGGACCTGTATATTTGCATTCTGCGGGGCACCATGTGTCTGAAAACATGGTGTCTCCTGAAAGGAGCGCCCCTAATTTGATTGTCCAAAAGGCAGGGATGAAACGCAGTTCCTTTACCTGATCGCCCGTGCCCACAAGCTTGTGCCAGCCGTTCTTGTCGCCGCTAGACAGGGCGTCGGTGATGTGGACTCGGGCGGTCCCCAGGAGGGCATCCGAGGTGTTGGAACGATCCCATACCTAAGGAACCGCGTGGGGGGCGGTCGGCGGGAGGCAGCAATATCAGTCAATATGAGTGTTTGATGCTTGTGTGTGTGCCTTTATTAATGGCTTCGACCACGCTAACCGGCTGACCGATGAAAAAAGTAATGTGCGTGGGTGGGTGTGTTCGTCTAAAATATGCTGGCGCCAGCTTACGCAGCTGTCGGTGTACAACGTTTCCGACGGGTCAGCCGGGGTCCAGTCGATTCAAAAGACAAAGAACAGCGGTGCGTGGAGGGTGGTTGCTTGGAGAAACAACGGCGGAGGCCCCTTTCGTGAAGAACATAACTGCTGCACTCTCTCGCTCGACGACATGCGGGGATTCAAGGTGTACAGCACTACCCGGGAAATGGTAGATACTGGCCTGGTTGTTTTTACCGCCAACCTGTTGATGCTTAACATGTTGCACATATCTAGCTAGGAGCTTCTAGAACAAACAAGCCGCAGGTACCCCCAGCTTCACCGACCTGAGCCAACAATGGAGCGAAAAAAAGATATATATAGACAAGTCAACCGCCACTTAATTCTGCGGCCCCAAACAATACCGCCGTTCGTGTCATGCATACAGGACGCCTGGTACTCGCCTGGACAGAGAGCGGCTGATAGGGCACCGGCCAGACGTTGGTATCCGCCGCCCTCCGGAAGCTCTCATGGGACACTTTCACGGGATGGTTCCACACCTGGTACATACCGCGAGAGGAAAAAGAACAAAAAACAAAACAAGCCGGCCGGTTACTCGGCATGCCGTCGAACAGACATCCTAATGTGCAGAAATGTGAGTGCGAAGTAGATTATTCGTTCGTTCGAGTTTTCTTGAAATCCAATCATTTGGGAACACACATTCTTCAACAGCTGCTGATTGGCTCACTGATCCCGCAGCGAAAGTTATGGGAGTGGTCCCTCGGCGAGACGGCGCTGGCCCACACCGGCGGGTCATTCCACACCAACCAACGCGGAAGAGAGTGCAACGGCCGGTGCATTCGGTGTCACAACACCATTGATGCTGACGTGCCAGCAAGTAGTACATCGGGGAGAGGGGGAAGCACCCACACGTGCAACAAACCAAGGCTGCGAGCCGACTTACGTCGCCACGAGTCTAGAGGGGAT